CCCACAACGCGGCCCGGTCGCAAGACCGGGCGCGGTCAACCCGGATCTAACTACCCCCCGCTTTGGGGGGTGGCGGTTAGGGACGGGGGTTGTATAAAAACCTCCCATCTTGTCCAGTTAGGACACACTTTATTTTCCGGACATAGTTTGTACTGAAGAATCATTGTAATAGCCAATCCCACGGCATTTAATACAATATACGGTCCTCAGCGACCTTTACGACATCGTTCTATATTTCGTTTCTTATTCTTTATATTACGTTCTTATCCGGATTTATTGATTCGGGTCCACCCCGGGTTAATTAATTCCATCAGCGACATTGATAATTAGGGTATATAAGTGAGAGGCATAAAATTATAATTTTTCATATATATATATAATTAACAACTTTTGTTCGTTCATATTTGATTCGTTAACCGCCATATTTGTATCTAAATATACACACGAAGAATGACACTTTTAAGTTAAATTTTAAATTAAATTTTTCTTTGTTGAATTTTTATGTATTATATTTTGAGAGTTGTTGTTGTTTTTTTTTTTTTTGCATTTTTATTTTATATTTGTACTTTTATAATAATTTTAAAAAGATGGTCCAAATTGAGTTATTAAATAGGGTCCCTATTTTTATAAGACGACTTTGTTGTTGAGTTAATAATCACATAATTACAAGTTTGAGTCTCACTGATTTACGTTCTTAGTTTGAACTATTTGTCCGTAAATTAATAAATTCTACCATCAAAAATAAATAACTTACACATCAATCAAGTATTAAAAAGAATAAAATAATCACACATCAAGTAATAAATATATTTAGTAATTTTTTTAAGGATGTAACATGACTCCCTATATAAATTTGTATGCAAACTATACGAGGACATTATACAACAATAAAATAAATATGTAGATAATCCCAAAGGTATAAAGTAGAACAATGAATATTCAATCTCAATATAAACTATTAAAGTCGGTGAGACATTTTCCTAAGGTAGAGGATAGGATTATAGGAACTGGCTTCTAAGTAAAGACAACAATGGGGGACTCTATGTTTATTTAGGTAATTAACGTGTCTGTTTCGTGTCATTTTCATGCGTGCACTATTATTATTGATATACTCTTTAGCTTTATCACAGATACATTTATTAATTACATAAATTTTTTTATTTCAATTTTTAAACTAATTTTTCAGAAAATAAAAAACAAAAAACATGTTTATTGATATATTTAAAAATAATTTGTCTGAAATATATAAAAAATTGTAAAAATAGAAAATAGAGAATGAAGAATGAAAAAATTAGTGAAAAGATTTAATATATGAAAAATTAGAGAAAGGAAAATTAATAATTAGAGTAAACATAGTTTTTTTTTTTTTTTAATATAATAAATTTTCACTTTTCAATTTCGTAAGCAAGTTTACTTACAATACAAGTCTTATAATAGCAAGAGTTTCCATGACAACATACAATACTTTATACCAATATAAGTCTACTTCTTTGCAGCATCATACTTTAATGCAACGCAATAAGAGTATAAGACTTCTCAAGCAGTAGAAGTTTGCATACAGTAGGAATTTGGGTACAATAAGAGTTTTGGACAACAAAACATCCCAAGCAACATAACTAGACCATTCTTCCAAAAGGAAGAACCCCAACCCGACAGAGCATTTGGGAAGATGTAAATCATGGTGACTTAATTGAACATGAACCACAGAGGCTAGACCGGTGTTTACTGCGCACAAGGAGCCCCCCTCACTTTGAGAGGTTGCTCCCACACTGCCACTGGTGAGACTCGATCCCTGATCATTCTTCCAAAGTTTCACCTCTATGACCAGTTGAGCTACCCATGCGGGCAACATAACTAGACCATAAGTGGAGGTTTGGTAGCAAATAGTGAATTTTAGCAGCAAAACTTTGATAAGCAATACAACACTACAACTTATGATTAAAAGAGAATGACAAGCAACAAAGATTCATTTCAAGGAAAATCAAAACATTCTCTGTTCAAGCAGCATACGAGGTATCATTACTGCTAAAAGTAGATATTGACATACTATCCAAGAAAGATAATTGATGAAAATAGTTAAAATAAGATTTTATGGATAAGTTGCATGCAATGGTTATACAAAAGTCTACACTTGTCAAATCCTAGAAGATTATTTTATTGCAAGTTGATAAATTCAAATTTGTCTCCCTCTAACAAAAAAAAATTAAATTGAATTCCTAGTATAAATAGAATTGAGTTGATAAAGTTAAAAAAAAGAAAAAAAAAAAGAGACAATAGATACAAGTGCAATTATATATAATTTTCAAGAGACACATAAGATATATGTGATATATTTTTTATCAAGCAAGAAAGAAAAACATTCAAGGCAATCCATACACTCAAAAGAGACTCAAAATTTCAAGGTTGATCCAAATTAAATCTTCAATATACCATTTACCTTTACGTAATCAGACCTGAGATACACCGAAATGGCCTAGTCACAAAGAAAACGTTCCCGGACCCACAGGAACATCTTAGGCGATAAGGTGGGGGTCAGTTTGGTACTCGAGGGTTGGTTTCCCACCCAAGGGATATGAGAGGTCCAACCGACATCATATCCATCAGGGGGATACTACCGTTGGTGGGACCAACCAGGGGTCCCCGAGGAGATATCCAACGTCATTGGTGAATGGGATTCCTAGCAGTAATTGGGGGGGGGGGGGGGGGGGTGCAGCTGACCATCGATTCTAATGCTCTGGCAAATCTTCCTCCCACTCGACTTAGCACTCTGTAAGCTAGGAGAGGGCGCCACCAAGAATAGGGCCCTAAGACAATGGACATGAGGTCATGGCTAGGGGCAAGATGAAGTTATCCCAAGGGGAGGAACTAGAGCCCACCCTCGAGGAAGCCATTGTCGACAACATTGATCATACCCTGACCATTAGAGGCCCGCAAACTTGCAATGAACGCAACAAAACCCAAGTAGCCCTTCTCGAGGGGTGAGGCGATTGGGTGAACGCTAAATCAAGGAGTTGGTCTAGTGTATGCAATTAGGCGATTTACAAATGATCCAAAAATCACGATCATCTTTTCACGTCAAGGATTATAAACGAACCCTTTTTCACTAATTTGAAGTTGCTTAGTATCAAATGGTTCACGGGGTAAGGGACCCCTAAGAGCACACCGTGACATATCAAGCCGCCATGATGATAGTGTCCATTGAAGCAGTTATGTGCAAAGCTTTCTTCTCGACCTTGGGAAGTTCGGTTCACTGGTTGTTCACGAACCTAATAGGGGGGCCATCGACTCATTCCATGACTTGGCGATCAAATTCACTACCTATTTCATGAGGGACATGAAGACCATAAAACACTTCTCGTACCTAGCCTTTGTCAAGCAAAAACCAGGCGAGACTCTCACCAATTTCTTGACTTGTTGGGGGGTCGAGGTGGCAAAGGTGGATGAGATGGATGAAAAGTGCGCTATTACCATGATCAGTGAGGCTTTAAGGACAAATAATCTATATAAAAGCATCAGTCACAAAATCCCAAACACCTATCGCCGTAATGGCCAATGCTAATTGATATACCAAGATTAAAGCTAGAGGCGAACCAAGTCAAAGGAATGGAGGAGAAAGGGTCTCCAAGAAACCCCAAATTGAGAAACCACCCAAGTCAAACAAGAAGGTGACTGGATGACCAACAAAAAAAAGTACCCTGAATGAAGAGGTAGACGTGACCACGGTTCGATTCCGATTCTGAACCAGTGGTTCACGATTTCAAAAAATGACGAATTGAAATTGGCAATTTTGATTTGAACTACCGGTTCAAATCAATTTTTTTTTTAATTCGATTTTCAATTTATAAAATAATCCAAACTTAACAATTAAATTTTTTTTCATTATGAAATTTGTAAACAATGGTTATATATATTTTTTGAAAAACCAATGGTTATATCAAATATTTAAAATTTAAAGCTAAAATTAAAAAATAAAAATAATTTTGGGCTTGCACTTAATTTTACCAAGATTAAGTTAGCTACATATCTTATCAAAATTTCAATAAAAATCAAAATCCACGCAATTCTCTTACCCTTTTTTATGTTATATTTTTTAAGAGTCATTAGCTTCCCCTTTGGTAGTATTGTTCTTCTTCTTCTTCTTCCGGTTCCGAATTTTATCAAACTGAATCGGAACCTGTTCAGTTTCTATAGTGCACGGTTCAATTCAAACTGGACGGTTCGAATCGAACCACAGTCGTTATATCGTGCACTAGGGCGCACAATGCATTGTGCGCCCCGCCCTACCCAAAACGACGTTGTTTTGATGCATTGTTTTAAAAAAAAAAAAAATCTTCTATTTCGAGTACACATAAACTCATAACATAATACACAGAAACTCATAACTCAATACACATAATCTAACATGATACATAATGCACAGAAACTCTTAACTGAATACACAGAAACGTTTAACTGAATACACAAGAAATCTTAACTAAATACACAGAAACTCTTAACTGAATACACATAAACTCTTAACTGAATACATAGAAACTCATAACACAATACACAGAAAACAGAAACTCTTAATTGAATACGCAAAAACTCATAACACAATACACAGAAACTTTTAACTGAATGCACATAATAGAATTTGGGTTGTTTAGACGAACGAAGTGACATCAATAATTGAAACGCGCGCATTTTGCGTCTAGACGTACATTACTATGTGCTTCATAATGCACGATATAAATTGCCATCGAACCATGGTCATCCCTAGGTAGAATATTACCAAGAAAATTTTGCATGCCCAAAACGCCTAACAGCCGACTTTGGATCCATTAACACAGTCCTTACAAATGGGCTAAGCCCACTCTAATACTTCAACTACTCTTCAAGTCCCTATCGCAATAGGAAAGATTTTTTTAGAATTAAAAAAAAAAAAAAAAAAAAAAAAAAAAAAACGGAAGCCGTACATTAACAGAAGAAGCATCTGGGCGCTCTCTCAATTTCCTGGAAACCCTATAAAGCAATCACTTCTCGTCGCCTCTCCTCTTATCACAATCTATCCCAAAATACATAAAACCCTAAATCCGTCTCCTTTCGTCTCAACTCTTTGGCGCAGATAGCCTACACTTTGGGTCTGGATCTGTAAGGCTTCGATTCTTTCACTTTCGCTATGTATTTGTGTTTGCGCATTCCGATCTTGAATGCTTGTGTCCGGAGATATCGGTTTTATCAGTTGTTTAAGTTTTTCGATCTTTACCGCTTATGCAAATTTATTGATTATTATTGGTATATGATGCTGAGATTAATAATAATTCCTCTTATTATGAGATTCTAATGGATCTAGCTTACATGCTTGAGTACTTAATTTAATTTGTTTTAACTCACCATTACCAGTACCTTTTTATGTGGTCTTATTGTTGAATGAATCTGACATGTAAGAATTTTTGTTTAATTATGGACGAGTTTTTATGGATTGAAAATAATTCAGAACATGAATATTCATTTGGATTTTAATTATTATCATGTTTCTAGTTGATAATGCCCAACGGCCCAACCACTGTGAATTGTTCTTTAAGGGAGCGTTGTATATTGATTGGCTTGAATGGATTAACTGAGTTCTGATTTGCTTTTAGGTGGTGTGTTAAGTGGATGTGTTTTTTGAGTTTGAAGTGTTGTCAAGGGTTTTGTATACTATTTCCCATTTGTGTGTATTTTTTAGTATTGCATCTTTGTGATGAATGTATTTTGATTTGATTTTTAATTGTTCTTTTTTTGGGTATTAAGGTATTATTTTTCCTGTTCTTGTGTCATTATGAAGAGCAAAATATGATTTGATTTTTAATTTTTATTCTCCTTGGAGGTGAGGGATTTGGACATTGGTGAAGTGATTATGTGCACACATGATTATGATTTTATTTTTAATTGTTCTTTTCCTTGGAGGAGAGTAATTTGGACATTGAAGAAGTGATTATGTGCACTCAAGATTGTTACTTATATGCATTATAAGTGGGAAAGGGGTTATGTGCATTATGCTTACTAATTCTATGATTCATAATTGAAATTGTGCTATTTATACACTCAAGATTGTTACTTATTTATTATAAGTGGGAAAGGGGTTATGTGCATTATGCTTACTAATTCTATGATTCATAATTGAAATTGTGCTATTTATGGTATTTTAGTTGATTTGGGCAAGATTAAGTTTTGATTAAAAATGTTTTAGTTCAGAAAGTAAAGTAATGTCAATGGCTTTTAGTAATTTGAAATGCTATTAGATGCACACCCTTTTATTGCCATTCAAGGCCTTTCTGTATTTGTCTCTAATTACACTATTACATACATTCTCTTCTCATAGATTGAACTGATGCTTCATTCTTCTATTTGGTAACCTTCAGTTTATTGTTGTGAAGCTTGCAGGCTCATCTTGTCCTGGTGATTTCCCAGTTTGTAGTGTGTAAACTTTGAAGGATTTTTATGTCCAAACAAGCTATTCTCTATTTGACAGCCATTGCTCTGCTTGGAGAATATTTTCGTAGAAAAAAGAACCATCTTTTTTCTGATCCATTCAGCTGTATGCCTCTCAAGCCATTCCAGGAATACCCTGAGTTTTGTGGTTTCAGCCAGGAACTCTTTGAAGACTCCTTTTTGGCTGAGGAACACTTTGAAGACTCCAAATTGAATTCCAGTCGCTGTTGCCTTTGATTGTTGTGTAATTAAAGATGGCTTTACAGAACATTGGTGCCAGCAATAGTGATGATGCCTTCTACAGGTATAAGATGCCCAGAATGATTACCAAGATAGAGGGCCGTGGTAATGGTATCAAGACCAATGTTGTCAACATGGTTGATATCGCAAAGGCTTTGGCAAGACCAGCTTCCTATACTACTAAGTATTTTGGTTGTGAGCTTGGTGCTCAATCCAAATTTGATGAAAAGACTGGAACTTCACTTGTGAATGGAGCTCATGACACTGCCAAACTTGCTGGTCTTCTTGAAAACTTCATTAAGAAGTATGTTCAGTGCTATGGTTGTGGGAACCCAGAAACAGAGGTTATTATTACTAAAAGCCAAATGCTGCAACTGAAATGTGCTGCCTGTGGTTTTCTTTCTGATGTGGATATGAGGGACAAACTGACTACTTTTATTTTGAAGAACCCGCCTGAGGCTAAAAAGAGCTCAAAGGATAAGAAGGCTATGAGGAGGGCAGAGAAGGAGAGGCTGAAGGAAGGCCAGGCTGCTGATGAGGAGCAGAAAAAACTGAAGAAAGAAGCAAAAAAGAAGGGCCCTGCTAAGGATGCCAGCACAAAACCTAACTCTAAAAAGAAATCAAGCAGTTCGGATGAGGATCTTTCCTCACCACCTCGCAATCATATTAAAGAGAAAGTTGAAGAAGATGACGACGACGATGACATTCAGTGGCAAACTGACACATCAATGGAAGCTGCACAGCAACGTATTAAAGAGCAACTGAATGCTGTAACCGCTGACATGGTTATGCTTTCCACAGATGATACAGAGAAGAAGTCCAAGACTGCTAATAAAACACAAGGTAGTCCTAAAGCTCTTTCCCCACCACGAGAGACGAATTCCAAGGCAGAAAATGGAAACTCATCTCATGTGAGGCTTGTTGAGGAGATGAAAGACAATCTGCAAAAAGGGATCACTGCTAGCCAATTTCGTACAGTTCTCGGATCGCTCTCTGGTACTCAACAGGAAGTCATGACTGCCTTATATGAGGCACTCTTGGATGGTGTTGACAAAGGGTTTGCTAAAGTTGTCATCAAGAAGAAGAGCTATGTTGCAGCTGCTATTTCTCTGCATGAGGAGTCACAGCTCCATTTGCTGCGAGCTATTGAAGAATTCTGCAGGAAATCCAATCCGGCAGCCGTGAAGGAAGTAGCTTTAGTTTTGAAAGCATTATATGATGCTGATCTTCTGGAGGAGGAATATATAATGAAGTGGTACAGTGAGGGTCTTAACGGAGTCAATAAAGACGCTCCAATTTGGAAGAACACCAAACCCTTTGTAGAATGGCTTCAAAGTGCTGAGTCTGAATCAGAGGAGGAATGATTGCTCTGGCTTTACAATATCTCAAGTCTCTACGTGTCGTCGTATTTCATTTCATAATGGTTCCCATTTAATATATATGGTTTTGTAATCGATGCCTGCGTGTTTGTGGACAGTTTATTTGGTTAATTTCTTACTGTCTCAGATCTTGATTGTGTCTTGCCTTTATGGCAAAGTACTTTTAATAATATGCATTGGTGTTTTTGTTATTGTTGAGATTTTTTTCTTTTGGAAATACTCGTCTACGTTGGAGTAAATGTCTGATGTTTTTTACTCTTATATCTTTCATGTCACCAGCCCATGTTAAGATTATCTGATACATTTATTTAATGATGTTAAATTGGCTGTGTTAGTCCAGTTTGGGTCAATATATAAAAAAAACTCGAATCAATTTAGCTTGATCAACATTTTTAGTATTGATTCTTGTTTATCTACTTTATTTAATTAATTAATCTAATCATTTTATTTTTTTCAATTTACCTTTACATTTTTTTTATTATTTTTTCTTTTATTACCCAAAGTGAAATAAGTAATGGACATAATACGAATACACAACATTTATTTTAAATCTTTAAAAAAGTGCAAAAAGTAACGAGAAAATATTAAAAAAAATTTAAACTTGAATTAATAATTTTTTTGAAAAAATTATGAGTAAATTATAATTTATGCCTTTTGAATTTTAGTGTTTCACTGATCCACGAAAACAAGTATGATATTAAGATTAAATAGTATATTTTAGTGTTTTTGAAAATATTTTTATATATACTGTAATAAGATGTTCATGATTGAATGACGTTCTTGGAATCAAGACTTTATGACATGTATTGAGTGATCAATATTTTTCAATAGCATAAACAGAGTGACTACTTTCAACCTTAGTTCATGATTAGGCATATGGAACACTTGATCCCATTTAAAAATACAGGTGTGTGCACATCAGCTAATAGATCAACATTAGTATCAGATTTGTAGGCACGATCAAAGATTAAATATGTATTTCCTTCAAACGTGTTTAAAGAACTCATATATTCATTGATAGAGTCAACTACATCAAGCGTTGGTGCAAGTGTTGTTAGTATGTTGCAAAACATTTTAATAAAAATTCTTCTGGAATATCAATGTTTTCACATTTATCTGTTTGTCCTTGAATTTTTGCATTTCATATATTCGCAATCCATTCGGAGAATCGTTTTTTTTTTTTTTTTTTTTTTTTTTTTTTTTTTTTTTTTTTGTGTGAAAAATTCTGAGAATCGCTTTAGTTCTTCATAGTTATAATTTGAGGGTGAGTTTTGAAGTCACATGTTTTTTTTTTTTTTTTGTCAAACGTAGCACTTTACAGTACTTCCAAAAGTAATATGCATTTATTGTTGCATTAACAATATCATGTTTACTTACTTTTGGGATAACAGGCATAATTTGTTAAAGGAATAAGGGTTAAATTGGCCACTGAACGTAACGCGATAGTGCAATCAGATCACTGGACCTAAAAAAACGTTCAATTATCCCACTCAATAGCACAAATCCCTCCAATTTTACCTATTAGCCGGTTTTCATCCATCCTTTCCGGTTGCCTTGCTGACTGGACTCTTACGTGGCATTTTTTCTCTTTTCCTTTACTTTTCCTTTCTTCCTAATCTTCTTCTTTCTTCCATCTACTATCCTCCTCCTCCGGCAACAATCTCCCCTTCATCCATATCGTAATCAATCCCTAAATTCAATCTGCCCACTACCACACCCATTGCACCGCTGCCAAGTGCTTTCTTTTCGTTCTCAATTTTAGCCCCAGCCTCTGAAATCTCATTTTCGGACTTGGAATCACTCTCTTCATGCTTCATGCTGCGGCGATCGTGGCGGTGATGGTGACGGCGTTTTGATGCCTCCTTACCACAGAAACGACAAAGAGTTCACTTTATACCAACTAAACTCAAAATCAACTGCAAGAAATACATACCCAACGGAAAAAATACTTCTTGAGAATTAATTGTAGAAATAACCAAATAGTTGCTTGTTTGACTACCAATATACATTCTGGGTTCACCAGGCACCTCATGGAAGGCATGTGAGCCGTTCTTCTTCATCCTAAGAGTAAGAGTATGCATCTGTAGAAGAAACCTTAAGTGCAAAATTTAATTTTGAACAACTCACTGAATTTTCAGTACACAGAAAGCTAGATCAATAACATGGGGGAGATACGAACCTGATCTGAGAGGAGTCGGAAGAGTCAATTTAAGAGAGAGAAACAGGGAGACAGAGAGAGATAGAGAAATAGAGAGAGAGAGAGAGTTTAGTGAGAGGATGAAGATGAAGAGAAAGAAAAAGGAAAATGGGGGTCTGCCGCCGGTCACTTCTCCTCCACCGCCAATTGCTTCGCCGCCACCTCCAGTCGCTTCTCCTCCTCCACCAACTGCTTCACCCCCTCCCCCACCTGTCTCTGTTTCATCCCCACCCCCACCTCCCGTCTATTCTCCACCGCCCCCTCACCATCTCCACCGCCACCTCCTGTCCATTCTCCACCGCCTCCTCCGGTATACTCTCCACCACCGCCTCCGGTCTATTCTCCACCTCCCCCACACCTGTTCCGTCCTCGTAGCATGGGCAGAACAAGCTGGAGTATGGTCACCAACGACCAGATGGAAGAAAGAAGAAGATCAAGAAGAAAGAGAAAATAAAGAAAAGGAGAAAAATGCCATGTAAGAGTCCAGTCAGCAAGACAACCGGAAAGCATGGATGAAAACCGGCTAATAGGTAAGATTGGAGGGATTTGCGCCTGTTGGGTGGGGTAATTGAACGTTTTTTAGGTCCAGTGGTTTGATTGCACTATCGCGTTACGTTCAGTGGCCAATTTGGCCCTTATTCCTTTGTTAAAAGTCAATTTTTTCTCTAGATTACTGTGCTTACTTCCTTTTGGGATAACATGACTTTACATCATTGATTACTGTGTTGTTAACACCATGCTGCTCAGGTGTCAAATTAGATACGAACTTTCTGTGCTCTTCTTGAAGTTCTGCTCTATCATATTTCAACTCATCATACACCAACCTATTCATCAAATTGGCCGAACACACAAGATTTGAAATTGACATTTGTAGATAATCATGTAGGATCTTCCCACATCTTCTCAACAATTTATCAATCTCAACTAATTTTTGATTTGTTATTTCATGAACAATCATAAATAAATCTAAACATTATTAAACAATGTAAATTACAAAGGTATTATCATATTAGAATTAGTAATATTAGACATTGAATAAAATATTAAAGCAAATAGATAAATTCATACATTGGTAGTCCAATATGTTATGTTGTTTGTACAGAATATTGTTAGACATATATGTCCAATAATATTTCTCCCAAATCACTTCAGGGTGACTTAAACAATTTGAGGATAACAATGTTGTGAATAAGTTTCTCAACTCACCTGTAATTGCTTTCTGACTTGCTTCAACAATACCATTAAAATATTCTTTGTCGTTTTTCAATAGCCCAAGTGCATAGCAGCATCACGATAATAGTCATATACCCCAATTTGGTTGTCCTTAAGTCTTCCTAACATGTAGTTCCTTGTATTACATTCAAAAGATATCTCAAGTAGTACATTTCATCACTTCTAGGAGGGACGTAAAAAGAATTAATTTCACTTTTGGTTCTACAACTTTTGAGGTTCTATCACTTTTGGTGCACAACTTTAAAATTTTTCAATTTTGGTGTCTAACTTTGTTATTTTATCAGTTTTGGTCTTTCCAGCTAAATTGACAGTGAAATGTTCCCGAATTTTATATTTTTATGTAGCTTTTAACACTTATTAGGGGAGCTTTTGTTTCCGCCTCTGACCTTTCGCAACCCACCTCCACCTCTACTACCGTTCCCCCACCTCCGCCTGGCATTCCTCCATCTCCACAACCTAAATCTGTCGCCCACAACAACACATATCTGGGTCTTCGTCGTCGTGTTTTGCCTGCTACATGTTAGTTCTATTCTATTACTCTCTAAATTTTAAACCCTAAAACCTAAATTCCTAAATCTTAAACCCTATCTTAGACGGATTATTCTTGTGAAGTGCTCACAACATATTTTAGTCTTCTGGCTTTACCGTCATGTCATCATTTGTATAGTGTGTGTGAAAGGGGGGACTATTTTGTTCAAGATCAAGGTATCGTTACTTAAAACTTGGAATGTTTATTTGCTTCTGAGAAATTCTGATTCTGTTGCTTTTGTAAGTAGCTACTCTTATTCCGCAACTTGAGATTGATAGGTGTATCAATGACAATGACTCACACAAAGATGTACAGTCCAAAATAATGACACAGTTATTGCGAAAAATTCACTATTCACTCTGGAATTCTAATACTCTTGTTATTTTGTTAACCAGGTTGGAGTCTTGGTATTGGAACACTTCTTCCGTCTGATTCTTTTATTTCTTAGATAATTGCCAATTACATATTAACCTGTAATTTTCAAAGGAGCTAACTTGTGGCAGAAATGTAACGTTTTCCTTAATTACATTACTATAATATTAGGTTACAAGTTATAATAATTAAGGTAATTTATTATATTGTGCAACACTTCCATTCAGGCTTCTAATAGTTAAGGTAAGGCTTGATTAAATAAAGACAAGAAGTGTGATTAGGAAAAGCATATAATTACCATATTGATGGCATATGGTTATTATTTAAGGGCCCTATCCCTCTCACTACTTAACGTCCATTCCTCATACACCATCTAAAGAGAGTTGAGTAGAAGTAAGAGAAACTCATACTGATAATCTACCGCAATGTCTCATGACTACTCAACATTCATCAATCGGAAGCTATGGTTGGAGATTAGTATATTATTATGATCCCGTATATCACGTATTTATGTTTCTACGTGATTTATATGCTTACAGTTGGTATCAAGAGCTTGATTTACCTTTGCCTACCCTTACGTATTTTGATTACTAAGTGTGTGTGTGTGTGTGTGCGTGTGTGTATTATAAAATCAATTGGATGTATATTTTTCCCTTGCTGTCTCGCTCGTCGAATTTTCTGTTTCCTTCATCGTTGGTCTGCCAGTTGCTTGGTGGCGACGACGAAACAACGTGAAGGAGCTCCTATGGTGGCTAGTTGCATCGCAGCTGCAGATGGCGGCAGCGATCTGCAGCCGCGTTGGTGTTGCGTCGATGTCAGGCGACGGTGGCAAACCTAGGCTTCCCCAGCAACGACGCTACTGTCCTCCCCTCCTTCAAGCGA